GTACGGCTCGCTGAATGACTTTCGCAAAATGATGGCCGATTTGAATGTGTGACCGCTGGGCGCACTTAATTAATTAAGTAATTATGTCACGTTGATTGAATTAAGCTGCCCGGCTTGTCGCATTGTCCGGGTCGAGACAGGATAACAATCTGTTTAATTTGCGTAATTGGCTGTGCTGACGACGGTTGACGTGGCTACCGATAAATAGGGTCCATGTCCATGTGTATTCTGCCCGGCGATGGGCCATCTGTAGGACCTGTCCGGCCGCCAGGTGCTACAAAAAGTGCACAAATTTTTATTAAAATTTATAATAAAATCAGCTACGTGGGCGGCTACGATGGTGGTGGCTGTGGTTGCAATGGGCCGTGTGCATACACAAATATATGGAATACGCTCAAATCATTTTTGCGAAACTGATTAAAAAGGTGGAAAAAACATGCAATATGTATACGCAAACAGACATCAAGTGATTATTATTTTTCGCGTTTTTAACATTTTTATTTGTTTTGTATGGTTTTTGCTGAGTGGCAGGTGCATCAGACAGACATCTGAATGGGGCAGTCGGATTAAATGTTAATTTTTGGGCGGGGAAATCAAGGTGGGGCTGCCGGGATTTGGAGTGCTGCTGCGGGATGGGTACAATGTATTCTTTTTGCGGTCCATTTGATGTACCATTAATGCAGACAACTAGCTAGATAGTGTAGATGAACTAAATAAATAATCAATTATACTGTAACTCTATGTATTTTGTGTAATAAAATAAATGGAAAACACATGCAAAATTTCTTGGTTTGTGTCTTACTTCAATGAAAAAGTAAAAATATAATAATTCTAACCCACGCAATGAGCCCGGCAGTGGGCCTTCCAACGAGCCTCGCAATGACCTTCCAAGAATCCTCGGATGTTGGCATACTGTATAAAAGACTGTATTTTAATAAATCTAATGGGGTTACTTCATTTCACTGCTTACCCAGATGAGTCATCCGGCGGGAACGCTACCATCATCGAATCAAATCAATCATAGAATCGAGTCATAGAGTCAAATCATAGAGTCGAATCATAGATTCGAATCACAGAGTCATCGAACATCTAGATTCCATAACTTGAGTTTTTAGATCCCGATTTTAACGTAGGATACCTCTATGAATTTGTGTTTAAATTTCCTAACGTTCTACATTCAAATATATCTTTTCAAAGAGGGTCACATTTTAAACCCATTTTCATGTCATATTTTTCCGTAATTCCCATGGTTTTCAGATTGCGAACCCAAAACTGCATTTCAAGATTCCAAAACTTGAGTAATTGGATCCCGATTTTGACGTGGGATACCTTTATGAATTTGTGGTTAAATTCTCGAATACTTTGCATTAAAATCCGTCTTTTTAACGAGGGTCCAAATTTTAACCCATTTTCATGTTACAATTTTCCGTATTTCCTATGGCTTTCAGAATGGGTGCCCAAAACTGCACTTCTAGATTCTATAACTTGAGTAATTAGATCCCGATTTTGACGAGGGATACCTCTATGAATTTGTGTTTGAATTTCCTAACGTTCTACATTTAAATATTTCTTTTAAAAGAGGGTCACATTTTAAACCCATTTTCATGTCATATTTTTCCGTAATTCCCATGGTTTTCAGATTGCGAACCCAAAACTGCATTTCAAGATTCCATAACTTGAGTAATTGGATCCCGATTATGACGTGGGATACCTTTATGAATTTGTGGTTAAATTCTCGAATACTTTGCATTAAAATCCGTCTTTTCAACGAGGGTCCAAATTTTAACCCATTTTCATGTTAAAATTTTCCGTACTTCCTATGGCTTTCAGAAAGGGTACCCAAAACTGCACTTCTAGATTCCATAACTTGAGTAATTGGACCCCGATTTTGAAGTGTGATACCTCTATGAGTTTGTGGTTTAATTCTCCAATGTTCTGCATTAAAATTGTACCTTTAAAAGAGGGTCCAAATTTTAGCCCATTTTCATGTCTGATTTTTCCGAATTTCCAATGGTTTCCAGAAGGGGACCCAAAACTGCACTTCTAGATTCCATAACTTGAATAATTGGACCCCGATTTGTATGTGGGATACCTCTATGAATTTGTTGTTGAATTCTCTAACATTCTACATTAAAATATATCTTGTTGGCGACGGTAAAAAATTTAACCAATTTCATGTTAGATTTTTTTCGAAATTCCAAGGGCCTCCTGAATGGGAACCCAAAACTGTACTTCTAGATTCGATTACTTGAGTTATCGGATTCCGATTTAGACGTGGGATGCCTCTATGAGTTTGTGGTTGAATTCCCTAATATTCTACATAAAAATATTTATTTTAAAAATGACTCAAATTTTAAACTCATTTTCGTGTTTGATTCCAATACTTCACTTCTAGATTCATAATCATGACATTTCAAGTCATTGTATATCAGTAAACTCTACATGGCAAATGCTTTTTGAATGACACAGATGTCAAATAAAGTTTCAAGCCCTCTTTTCTTTTGAAAGATATTTTTCCTTTAAGTTTGTATATAGTCCATTTGGGCACATGCTGTGTGATTGGAGATATACCCCAATGAGGGGCGAGCACAGTTTTTGATATCATTTTTGAAATATTTCCATTGATATCGGTAGTACTTTCATATAGCAAGAAATATAAAGAAATTAAAACCTAACCAAATTTTAAAACTTGTGTGGTTCTTGTCTCGGGAACCTTAGTGGTGTGGAAAAAAATAGAGATGGTCGCCAGTCGCATATCGATATTGAGCCACCGATGTTTATCCATCCCTGGTCGAGTCTCATTTTGTTTATGTCATTTTTTGTCTCCTTCTTCTACTGGCAATTACGTTGGTACTATTTCTCACTTTTACTGGCACTTACGTTGATGTTATCTTCCTTTTTTACTGACTACGTGCTGTTGGTTAAAAAAAATATTTTTTAAAGAAACTACGATATTTCAAGTAAAAATATCACGATATCGATATATACTTTTATTCAAGAAACATCTGTGTATTTTTCACATCCCTAAGTTGCATATTGTTTATTAAATTTCACCAATTGTTTATTTCATTGGACGAAGCAAAATGATTGAGGCGCGCACGCTGCACGACGAGTCGAAGTACCAGGAGTCTGGCCGGGAGATCTCGATGAAGGTGCTCCGCGGCGAGTACCGCCTGTTGCGGCGGAAACATGGCAGCACCGTGTGGCAGGTATACCGGGAGGTTGTCCGAACCGATGGGGCCATCATCAATGGGTTCTATTTCTGTACCGGCTGCAAGCGCGTCATGCGATCCTTTAACACCTCGAATTTGCGCACCCACAAATGCCATGTGGAGTACCTGCGGCGGCAGGATCCCAATGCTGGTACATTCTCGGATGTGGAGCCCTCCGTCCAAGAAACACAAGAGGTATGCCGTGCGGCACTTCCCTGATAAGTCTCAGATAAATCTAATTGACATGTTCATTTCCAGGAAGCTGATCTTCCGCCGGAGCGCCGCATAACCTGGAACAATTTCAAGCCATCGGAGTGGTCCTTCCACGCAACCGAGCTGCTCCTTCAGCTCTGGGCAGCCAACTGCGTCGATCTGCGGGATTCCCGTCGTCGGGTCAAGGTTATCTGGAAAATGACCGGTGAAATGAAGTCACTTCACTTCACTTTCACGGAAGTCAAGAACAAAATTGATGATATGGCCCAACGCTATAGGTAAGAAACAGATACCACTATAAAATTATAATTATGTAAATGAATTTAGTTTTTATATATCACTTAACTTATTAATAAATGATCTTCTTTCTTAGACGAGAGGCCCACTTGGAAAAAACAACCGGAGAGCCATCCCAGTGGGAATATTTCGAGACCCTAAACTTGATATTTAATGCCGAAAAGAATCTAGTGGAAGAAAAGCCTAGAAAATCGGATAACTCTGGAAATGAATCCACCAAAATAAGCGATCATAATTCGTTTTCCAGTCAACATGATGAATCCTTGAAGGAAAAACATTACTCCAAGGAGCTAAAAGCCGGGACAGTTAAGAAGGATAGCTTTGACCTAGGCGAGGACCAAGATGACTCCCAGGATGACGTGGACGAACTTCGCATTCTGAAGGACAACATTATTAGGGAAATAGAAGAAGAATCATCCACTGTACATTCTCAGGAGAACTATGAGGAGGAACTCGACCAACAGAACTCTACGATCGAAGAAATGAAGAGAACTAAACGCAAGAGAACCGCTAGACTTATGGAAATAGAGGAGGAAAAACTGATCATAGAACGAAAAAAATGTAAACTGATGAAGTTCTTTGTGCGTGAGATGTCGTCGTTTCATAAAGATTTCATGGATTTACTTAGTAGTTCTAAGTAAGCCTCATAAATATGTTTCTAAAATTTGAGTGAGCCGCCACACAATAAGATTCTTGATATGTTTAAATATATTTAATTAATCATACCTCATTTGTTACTTACAAAACGCACGCGAAATAATTTCAAAATGTCCGACAAACTAAGAAGATCACCCCCAATAGTAATCAATCGGCATGGCAAAGTGTTGAATTTGGCAGTGGCTCAATTTAATAACTTAAGATAATGTCGATATGCGAAAAAAAAACCTAAGATTTTAATTGAAATAAAATGCCCCTTAATTTGAATTCCCTTCTAGAGAGTATTATGATTTTAGTAAGTTTGCTAAAAAGTAATATTGTGAAAATCGAAGCACTATATCATTTCATGGGAACTATCTTTACATTTATATTAAAATCTTCGGAATATACGGCTTCTGAAAAATGCGTATGATCAAAATTGCATAATATGGTTAAATTCAAACTTATGTTGCCAAAGTAATCTTCTTTTCTTGTTTTGATTAAATTTACTGGTAAGATAAATAATCTTCTAATTTCCAAATATATTTATTAATGAACTATACTTATAATTTATTAAATTTAATTTTTTTATTTATTCTGTGGTGTCGATTTCGATTATATCAGTTATCGAAAATGGCCCGCCAGTGTTGCCACCTGGTTTGCCACTCCGGCTGTTTGTGTTTTTGCTATGACCATTAGGATTCCTAGGCGAAATATGTTTATAATCAATGCCCCCGAGGAGGAGGAGAAGTGCACCGAGGCGCAGCTGGACATCCTGCTCAAGATCAACACCGGGGAGTACCGGCTGGTGAAGAAGAACAAGCGGAGCTCCGTGTGGAACGTCTACCGGGAAATAGCCCGTTCCGATGGGACCAAGCTGAAATGGCGCTACTTCTGCATCGGCTGCAAGCGTGTGATGCAGTCCACGGGCGGCACCACCTCCAATCTGCGCATCCACAAGTGCCATGTGCGGTACCTCAAGCAGAATGCCCATCTTACCGACGGGAGTCTCTCCTATAACCACGCCCCCGCTCCCACCGCCGTTCCACAGGCGCTGCGCAGCCAAAAGTCCACCACCAAGCGTCCTCCTTCCTACGCCACCCAGTGCGAGAGACTGTACGAGGTCACCATGGATCCGCTCAACCAGTACAGCGATGTGGAGGACGAAATGGAAGTTCATTTGGAGGAGGAGAGTGCCGTGGAGCAGACTGTAAGTGGGCTGTTGGTTACTGAGACAAATCATGTTCTAAAAACACATTAACTTTCAGCCGGAATCGGAGCGTGATCTGGAATCCTCTAAGGCCCGACCCCTGCTGAAGCTATTTTCCGAGGAGAACCTGTCGGTTGAGCCAGAGCCAGAGCCTGAAGAAGAGGGCGAATCGCCGGAGACGGAAGACCACAACATGCTGCCAATTGAGCTGGACCCATCGGAGATCCAGCACACCTCATCGGGCTCCAGGCATGTGGCAAGCGAGCCCAAGCCCACGGACAGCGGCTTCCTGTTCGACGCCAGCGCCCTGTCCGAAGCGGAATCCTATGCCAAAGCGTGGGCCCACGCCTTCCTGCGCCTGAGCGAGGAACAAAAGTTCTATGCCAAGCGCTCCATTGATGAGCTACTTGTTCTGGGTCGGCTGGAGCGATTGAACATTTCGACCGTCACATCCTTGACCACCAACCTGTAGCACCCAGCCGCGCCAATACCACTTAAATTAGCCTAAGATTATAGCTTATAACGCAGATTAAACAATTTGCTCAACTAATGTTCTTTGTTTTTAAGCAATGGATGAAAAGGTATGCTCCTAATTGATTTTAATATATTTTCTACCAGAAAAAAAACAATAAATTGTAGATTTTTAAGCTGGATATTAAGGAATGTTGAAGATGTTTGGAGTTCATTAGAAACTTTTCAAATATTTTGATATTTAAGAAATATTTAAAATGCAATCCAGTAAAATTAGTAAATGGGGTATAATATCTTACAATTCCCACACAAAAATTAAAAATCCAAGCCAGTGTTTTTCAATTTTTTTATTTTTTCCAATACGTTTTTAAAGTTTTTTTTTTACTTTTCTTTTGTTGCCATCTTGCATTTGTTGTATATTTTTGCTTTGCTTTTACAGTTTTTTTTTTTAGTTTGTTTGCTGTGAATTACATATTTCTCTCTCACTTAAGTTTGTTTGCTCTGCTTTGCTTTTATATTTTTGATACATTAAGTGGGGCCTTGCTTCCGTCTGATTCTTGAATTTCTCGGTTTAGGATGATGTATAAATGGGACAAGAGTGTGTGTGGGTTTTCGTGTTTAATGTTGATCTTTAATACGAGAAACTTAGAGTTATGGGTTCGCTTAACGCACAACGTAACAACGTTCGAGAAGGGTTTCAAGAATAAATAAAATTTTGTTAATAATCATTAAGGTAAATGGTATATACCGGCGCTGTCTAAATTGCTGGGCGTATTTGAATTTATTTTTGTTTTTGTTGTGGTTCAATGAATACAATTCGACTTTTTATGCAATTTTTGACGGCCAGTCATGATAGAAATTGGTTTTTTGAATTTGATATACATTTTCATGTTGCTGTTGTTAGATGTTGGATGTATTAGATTTACAATTCGTTCTGCTGCCCTCCGAAACAAAACAAAAAGCAAACAAACCGAAAAAACGCGGCGGCTCATTGGGCAAAGTGCTGCAATATTCGCTGGTGTTGTTGCTTCATTTTGCAGTAATTGCTGCTGGATGTTGATGTGCTGCTGCTGCGACTGTTGTTATATGCTGCTGCTACTGGTACTGCTGATGTTTTACGACGGTTCGACGGTCCTTTCTATGCAGTGCTCTCTGTAGTTGTGTTTTGCAGCTCTTGAGCGCCGTTCTAGGGTTTTTGTGTGGGGATAGCGAGGGGTAGAAATCATAATGATAAGTCAACTTAAAATTGTGAAAAGTTAAAAGTAAAATGCAGCTTTCGGTTTTACATTAAATGTGTGTCTGTGTGTTTGTTAGCCAATTAGTTACAGGTGACTAAAATAAAAGAATATTAGACCCAAAGCCTCTAGGTTAGTTATGTGTTAAGTTTTCTCCGCTTTTCGCTGTTTTTCTGCTTTTCGTGTGGGTGCGAGTGGCTGTGGTTGTTGTTAGTGGTTAATTATGAACGCATCTGAAATGCATTTAGTTCGTTTTTAAGACCGCCACCATGTTATTATCGTAGACCTTGTTGCTATGGCTGCCGATGGTTGTTGCTGATGTTTACTAGTTAGATGTTGTGTTATCGTAGTTTTGCTTTGGCGAAGATGTTTCAGTTGTTTCTGTTGTGGTGATTAGTTCATTACCTGCTGTGGCTGCTGCTCCAAACCACCGCCAGGCCCATTTGGTTTCCTATTCTGGCGACGTGGACGTGGCTGTTGAGGGCGTGGCGGTCCCTGGCCTTGAACTGCAGGGGGAACATGGTATTAGCTCAAGAATAATATGGAATAGTTAAGCATTTTTTTTACTCACTGTACTCTCCGCCATCGCGGCGTGGTGGCGGTGGTCCGTTGTTGTAGTTGCGTCGGAAGAAGCGCCTCTGGGGTCCGCCTGGTGGGCCGCCACCGCGACGCGGTCCCTGACCCTCGCCTCGCTGCAGTCCCTCGGGATTCTGGTCGTGAACGCCAGGCTCGGCGCTGCTGCCATCACCGCCGCCCAGACCGCGTCGCGGCTGGCGCGGATAGTAGTTGTTGTAACGCCGGGGGCCACCGGGAGCTCCGCCGGGTGGTCCTCGGGGGCCACCTCGAGGTCCTCCGGGCGGTCCACCGGGTGGGCCTCGGCGGAAGTTCTGACGGGGCTGACGCGGGCCGGACTGAAGCTGCTGCTGCTGCTGGCCGTCAACGGACGGCGGTGCCTGCTGCTGCTGCTGTTGGGCCGGCGACTCCAGCTCCTCGCCTTCTTCGCCATCCTTGCGGCGGTTCTTCTTCATCCAGGGACGGAAGTTGCGGCGCTTGTCTGCCGCAAACTGGCTGCCCCGCACAGGCTCGCCGGACGGACCGGTCACGTTGGCCGCCTCGTTTCCTTTCTCGCCAATGACCACGTCGAACTCAACGACCTCACCGTCGCCCACCGAGCGGACCGCCTTCTTGGGGTTGTTCCGGGCAATGGCGCTCTGGTGCACGAAGACGTCCTCTTTGGTGTCGTTGCGGTTGATGAAGCCGTAGCCGCTCTTCACGTTGAACCACTTGACGGTGCCGGTGACTTTGGTGGCTGCAATGGAAAGGGTAGAAATTGTGATTACTCTAAATGGTTGGGCGAAAAATTTATTGAGGCTGTTGTTCAAAACAAGTTCGTTGAATAGAGTTAAAAGAAAGCTAAAAAACATATTTTGTTCTTTTAAAGTAATGAGAATAAAATTTGTTTAAGGAATTTCCTAAACAAACAACAATTTGCATTACTTGCAGTACACTTAATATTGCGCAATAAACAAATCTAAAATATACAAACTGGGAGTAAGTGGCAACACAAACCTAATTTGCCTTTTTACGGTCCTTAAAGCGTAAGATAATCCCAGTTTTAAACAAACAATAAATTGCTGATTAACAACGGTCAAAAAATGTAGTTTTAAAAGAATATACTTATAGAAAATACCGTCGAAATAGATGGTTGCAATTAATGTATGTACTTTTATATTGCATTTTTAATAAAGTAATGGCTTACAACATTAGAATTCGTTAAGCTATAGTAATGTTTTTAAAGAGCAGACGGTTTAGAATCAGAACTTTGACATGAATTGATGACAAACTAAGGGATGGAGGGCAAAATGCATTATAATCAAACTAACCTAAACGTAGCTTCTAAAATCATTGAAGCGTGTAAAGATATGGTAATTTCGACCATAAAAAAGTTTTATTACCACAAATTTCGGTGTAAAAACCATCGTGACTGGGGTTACTACAGTTTCGAAAACACATCTACATATTACATTGAAGGAGGGGATAATATGGCATTATAACTGCAGTTATTCCAAGACAGATTGGCAACATTGGCTGCATTATTAGTCTCGTGTTTTGGAATCGCCTTAAAGCCAGGTGTGCGTATGTCTGTGCGTACAAATAGATGTACCAAAACAATGGACACACACACCCGCACCGGCTGTCTGCCATCTCGCTCGCACTCGTGATGCGCGCGCATTAACAAATTGGGTTGCCCTGGCTGTGTCTGTATGTGTGTGTACGTCTATGGGGGGATTCTTAGTGGGGGAGGAGGAGTGGTGAGGGGGCGAGCAGGGGGTGGATGGGTGGGTGGGCGGTTGTATAGACAGACGACCGGCAAAAGGCAGAATTTTCAATTTGGTTAGCCGGCGGCGCGAACATTCGTGCATATGTACATGCGTTGCCTTTGGCCGCACAAAATGGCCGACGCGCGTATATTTTAAGACCCAAACACACACGCACACACACACACACACGAACGCAGGGAGGCATGTTTCTTCGTTCTTTTTTTTCTTCTCCTTTTTTTTTCGAATGCTATTTTGGTAGCAGCCGCCATGTGTTTCTCGCATATGAATGAAATGGGTTGGGATTTGGTTGTGAGTTCGAACGATGGATTCCCATTCGATCGCATCGTATCGTATCGTATCCTTACCGATGACTTCCTTGGGCGGCGGAGCGGGCTTGCCCTGCAGCTCCTGATCGAGTTCCTGCAGCTCCTGCTCGATCTCCTGCTCCTGCAGATTCTGCTGCTCCGGCTGCTGCTCCGGGATCAGTGGCTTACTCTCCGCATCGGCCATCGTTCTGGCGCAGTTGTTATGTGTGCTATGGGTGTTCTTAACGGAAAAGCGGGAAAAACGAGGCTGTTGTTGTTGTTGGTGGTGGTCGCGAGTGCCGCACACTAGTTATCCGTCTGCCCGTCTGCTGTTCGTCGGGTTCTCTGGCACTCAACTCTCAGCTGCCACTAACCACTTTGGATGTTGTTTGTGAGTGTGATCTTAAAACACTCGCCACTCGCAGGGTTTTCTTTGCCTTAGCGATTCTATTTTGTTCGCAAGCTCCGGAAGTGAAACATGACAGCCGGAGGCAGGGTTGCTTGCAGGGGGTGATCGATATGTGTTATCGATTGGGCTTCTGCCAGTGGTCTCTAGCGTGCTGTTAGGCGCAACGGAGCCGTTCTGTTAAAAAACCGTTGAATTTGAATTCAAATGTAATTTTAAATCATATAAATTTGACTTTCTACTTTATGAAATTGTACTTTAACTTTGTTAATTTATTACTATTTCATTATTGTTTTTTAAATAAAATTAGGTTCCTTTTTATTATATCCTTGTTAGCACTCGGTTACTAAATAAATAAATAAAATAAACGTTATATGTTGTAATCTCGGGAATTATGTTTCGGTTTTTTAAACAAAAGTAAGTTTCTCAATTTTAACTAAACAGCAATAAACATTATTTAAATATTATTTTAAGCATTTAGTTTTTACGTTAAAATGAATTTTACAAATATTTTATTACAAGGCATAACTGGTTTCATCCTGCATCCTTAGCCTCCTCCATAGCCAATGAGCCTGTTCCAGGGCGAAGCCCAAGCAGCTGATACCAATCCCCACTGACCAGAGGTAGAAGGCGCCCTGGAGGATGTCCAGAGTGAGCACCACCCGTTTCTTGTGACGTACTGCCGCCTCGTTGGAGGCTGGATCCGTGTCCGTCTGGTCGCCCAGATCCTCGTAGAACTCCTCGGCATTCGGTGATGTTCCGTCCCGGGTGATCAGGTCCATTTGCCGCCAGTGCTCAAAGAAGCCGTGTTCATGGAACTTACTGAAGAGAGACTCGAAACGATGCAGGAAGGGAGATCCTCTGGGCAGGATGTAGGTGCATATCATGGAGCGCAGGTACTCCTTGACGATGTGGTAGGCGGGTCGCTCCGCCTGTGAGTTGTAGGTGAGGGCCAGGAAGTCCCGGGCGTGGAAATCCCGCATTATAAAGGCACCTTTGCGATCCCTCCGGATGACATGCAACTGGTAGTAGGAGGTGGTCACGCCCAGGGGCAATTGGTGACTCCGGTTCTCCAGCAGACCATATTGGTGCTTCGTCAGGGCGGGCCGCACTGCATCATACATGGTGTTCACCGCATAGATGTGTACATCCAAGTGGGCCAGACCCTCCACCTGGTCCACCTGCTCCTCGTAACTAGGAAGCACGAATCTGGACTCCAGTTTGGCAAAGTAGATGGTGGTGAGGACGTAGCTGAAGAGGATCCAGCCCATAAGGAAGGTGCGCATCGAACTGAAGGAGGAGAGCCTTGCGGCCGGCTCACCCACATGGGTTTTGCCAAACATCTCGAGGATCTCATACCAGGTGGCCTGGAACTGGGTTACCCCCCGGCGGGGAATCCCCTTCTGGAGCCGTTGCATCACCCAGAAGACCAGCACCACCACCAAGAGGGTGAGCAGCAGCAGGTGCCAAACGGATCGCCGGAAGACGCGCACAAAGATCAGGTATTCCGGCTGAACTTCGGAGGCGGGAACCACCAGGTAAAGTACTCGCCGGGTGTGGGGATACAGCACCTCCACTTCTGGCCAAATGCAGTCGAGCACAAAGCGGGAATTGGGTGCAAAGTGGGTCTGACCACCCACTATGTCTTTAACCACCCCGGAAAAGTTTCCTCCAGGCAGGCAACGCCCATAGGACTCATTATCAGACGGTAGGACATAGGTAACCGAGGCATTCAACATCTGGGCGGCCACTTGAGCTGCCACTCCATCCACCGCCTTGTAGCCAGCAGTCTCGATTGGATCCTTGGGCACCGCCATCAAGGGATCCGTGAACATGGAGAAACGCAGCGGGTAACCCCTTAAGTTCTTCGTCTTAAAAGGGTAATATATATCCTCTCCGTCTAGCTGGACCACTTTTAGACCTCCCACTGCAAACGGATCAAAGTCGAAGATCCCATTATCCTTGTGGGTTATAGCCAATCCGTAGAGTAGTTTCTTGGACCAACTGCCTTGAAAAAGTCGTAGTAACTGATTTCTCTCAGCATCGGGCCAAATAAACAGGTACTTATGTAGGTGCTTTCGTGCCTGGCGGGGATTCAACATCTCCAGGATGCGGCGAACCAGGGAATTCCCTTTTTCCCCTGCTGGAATGTGGAAGATGCTTAGGCTGTCCGTGTTTCGCAATGGTTCCACTTCATGTGCCTCGATGTTCCTGGTGACCATGTGTAATCTACTGCCCACGCATCGATATAACTCTAGTTCCAAGGCAGGGTGCTCCGCATCAAAGGACGAAGGACAGCTGGTACAGCGATACAGATAGGTCACCTGAACATTTTGCTTCACGGCTATGCGACAGGCAATCTCGGCCAGGGACCAAAACCCCGGCAGAAAAATTAGGAGTAGAAAAACGACCAAAGACTCCATGTTCCAGAAAGCAACTAACCAGGAAAATTTCTTATCGAAGACCCCGACATGTGGATATATTTTCCCCAGGGTGCCGTAATCCCCAATTAGGAATAACATGGCGTGAGGAGTTTATTAGCTAACTTTCTTGGGGTGTGTAATCAAGGAGTTTACTTAAAAGGAACGGTTTTTAGTTCCAGAAAAGTTTCATCGCTTAAACACTTTGACTTTGCTAACGAAACCATCATGTTTATAATAATTTCAATGGCACCTCAAACATCAATCTTTTGATTCTATCTGAAAAACTCCCTAGCAACAAATCACCTGAACTAAGTTATGGGTTAATGTTAATGTAGACTTAAACATGAACACAGATAAGGTGTTGTTTGTTCTAAATCTTCATAGTCGGAGCTAATCGGATGAATCATAAAAACATTTAAAGTCATTGTGAAAGACGCAGCAATATTTACTTTGATTAGGCGAATCTTATAATGCCCTTCAAATCGGAGAAACTATTCTTTCGAAAGTATATTTGTGTTTTTCTTGTATTCTTGTGAAAATGGTAACTTGCCTAAGAAAGGAAAGGATGCCAAAAAAAAACCTACAGTTAGCCTTGATTTGAACTTAAGTTTCCTATCAGATCTTTCGAGTAACCCAACAAAATCACTGTCAAATTTCTAAATTTTTATTAATTTAAAAATTAATACAAAAATTCGAAATATCAAACCATGGATAGAACTCCGCCTTTCAATCAACCAGTAAGTGGCTTTATATTTAAGATCTTTAGATCTTATTACTATATATGTATTTCTCTAGTTCTATAACACCTGCGAGATGTATCCACGCCGCAGGACAACGGAATTCTATAGATCTCCGGAGCCAAGAGCATCGTGTCAAAGTCGAAGGCCAGAGCACCCGAGGGATGTGCTGAACGTAACCCCCGACCAAAATCGGGAGGTCGCTCGCCGATTGCCACGGATTCAGCCTTCCAATAACTCTGATAGTAATGTTCTTCGAAATGGTTATTTTTCGTAAATTTCGCTCTCTCATAAAATATTTTGTAATATATTTATCAGTTTAAAAGAACGTTTATAGACTTCTATAAAAATGTGGGGACTTCTAGAATAAAGGTAGAGTAAATTGCAAAGCATTTGAAGATCTGTTTTAGAGAATCGTATACCGTTATGTTCTGGATTGGACTATGGGTCTTTCGATGGTCCTTTGTTCTTTGTTGTCTACCCGAGCTGTTGTTCCAGCAACATGATTAATGCTCCGTGTTTTGCCATTTGGAATATTTTTAGCATCGGTTGATAATGATGCGCCCGATCACTTGGCGACCCGGCAAACAAAGCCGATTGCAGGCTTATCAGGTGTTATGCATAGTAACACCTTAATCGACAGGTGATCCCTTTGCAATGTAATTCTAATCGCTTTTTAAATGGGTTGAAGAAGAGGGCCCGTCACCTGTTGATGAGCGGAAAATAACACAATCATCTATTATAAACTTTAGAGAAAAAAAGTCATCACACAGGAAAAAATTAGGGCTTGTTTTGGTATTGCTAAAAAATGTTTATTGGCTCTGTAAAGGATTTTAATAAATTAAAGTTAATATCTAAATTCGTGACTTATTTAGAACCTCTAAAAAGGGAAACCTTAAAAAAGAAAAGTCACCACAATTAAAACAATTAAGTTCATTTTGTATTTTTGACTCAAGATATATAAATGACCAAATTAATATTATTGGTATTTTAAAAAAAATTCAAAAGATTCAATGATATATATTGACAAGTAGGCAATGTCCTGAGGCACTAAAGAAAACTTCCTGTGAGAAGTTCTCTCAGATATCATCTAAAAAACAAAGAAATCTTCAAGGTGCCTTTGGATTCCAGTTCCGAAAACAAAGTTCTTTAGTATATATGTTATTCTTGAATTTAGATAATGTCTTTTGGCAGTAGAATGACTTTGCCTAATCGGAGGTCTTATCGCCTGCAATTATGGATGCAGCATTGGACCAGCGAGTTTCGGGTTCCCGGGGTCGATTAGATCCGGCGGAGGAGTGTCAAGGCTACGGATGCGATCGGTCGTTGGCCGGATTGCAATCTTCGTATCGCAGAAATCCAGAACCCCAGGGGTATAAATATGGGGAGCGATCACTGCAGCAGTACGATTCGAATCGATTCGACAAGATGAAGTCGTTCACGGCGATCGCAGTTGTTACGGTGGCTCTGCTCGCCGCTCTGGGTGGCCAGGCCAAGCACCTGGACTCCAAGGTGGCGGACAAGGACTTTCTGATGAAGCAGCAGTTCGTCTTCCAGATCCTGCAGCATCTCTACCAGGACGATGTCTACAGCACCCCCTTCGCCGCCAGCTACGTGGAGTACAAGCCGTGGGAGCATGTGGCCGACTATGTGCATCCTGCCCAGCTGGAGCACTTCTTCGAGCTGTGGCAGCACCAGCCCTTCAACGACGAAAAGACGTGGTCGGTGATGTACGAGAAGCACGAGGAGTATGCTGTGGGTTTGGTCCGACTCTTCTACTTCGCCAAGAACTGGGAGACCTTCCAGCACGCCGTCTTCTGGGCCCGTCAGCACGTGAACAAGCAGCTCTTCGTCTACGCCTTCACCATCGCCAGCCTGTTCCGCGATGATATGCAGGGAGTGGTCCTGCCGGCGCAATACGAGATCCACCCCTGGAGCTTCTTCGACAGCCAGGCTCTGGAATGGGCCGAGCACTACAAGATGCACGGCTTCCACCACGTCAAGCAGATGGACAACATCTACAATGTGGTCATCCGTGCCAACTACTCCAACGCCCATGGCTCCCTGAACTACGATCACGATTTGGCCTACTACCTGGAGGATGTTGGCTTCAATGCCTTCTACTACTACTTCAACCTGGACTACCCATTCTGGACCAAGGGCGGCGATGAGCATGTCCTGAACAAGGATCGTCGTGGTGAGCTGTACCTGTACGTCCACTGGCAACTGCTGGCCCGTTGGTACCTGGAGCGCCTGTCCCACGATCTCGGCGAGGTCCCTGCCTTCAACATGTACGTTCCCGCTGAGACCGGCTATGCCAGCAACCTGCGCTCCTACTACGGAGTGCCCCAGTGGCACCGGGAGAACCACCACAGCTTCTACCATGGCAACAACTACGAGAACATCGAGCACGTCGAGATGTACACTCAGCGCGTGATGGACTGGATCCACAAGAACGAGAAGTTCGACATGGAGACCGTCAACACGCTGGGCAACATCATCCAGGGCAACATGGACAGTGTGGACAAGAAGTTCTACGGTAGCCTGGACAAGCTCTACCGCTTCATCGTGAACGAGGGAGAGCACTACGCCAACGGCGTGGAGAGCTTCCCCAAGTTGTTCATGCACTACGAAACCTCCATGCGGGATCCCATCTTCTACGAGGTGTACAAGACCCTGGTGAGCCACTACTGGCATCTGATGGAGACCTATCCGGAGTACAAGAAGAAGGACTACTACTACGAGGGCGTCCAGATCGATGCCGTCCACATGCCCGAGAGCCTGACCACCTACTTCGAGTACTTCGACTCGGACATCAGCAATGCCGTGAATGTGGAACCCCACCAGGAGGGAGCCACCGATGCCCTCTACACCTTCGGCCGTAACTCCCACTACAAGGGAGCCAGCTACGTGATCAAGGCCCGCCAGCAGCGCCTCAACCACAAGCCCTTCGAGTTCACCCTGGACGTGACCGCCGACAAGGCCCAGGAGGCCATCGTCAAGGTCTTCATCGGACCCAAGTTCGATGAGCACGGACACGAGATCCCGCTGGAGCACAACTACCAGAACTTCTTCGAGCTGGAGCACTTCAAGGTCCATCTGGAGGCGGGTGTTAACCACATCAAGCGCGCCAGCGGTGACTTCTCCTTCTGGGTGAACGATCGCACCACCTACCTGGAGCTCTACCAGAAGCTGATGGACGCCTCCAACAGCGACTACAAGTTCAAGCTCGACCAGTCGGAGGCCCACTGCGGTGTGCCCAACAGGATGATGCTGCCCCGCGGTAAGAAGGGCGGCCAGATGTTCCAGTTCTTCTACATGGTCTACCCGTACCATCAACCCGAGGTGGCCCAGTTCACCGGCTACGATCCCGTGATCAGCTGCGGAGTGGGACACGGTTCCCGCTACATTGATGCCCTGCCCTTCGGATTCCCCTTCAACCGACCGGTGAAGCACGACTACTATTTCGATGTCCACAACTTCAAGTTCGTCGACATCAAGATCTTCCACCGCGACGAGCACACCAACGTGGTCTAGATCCTAGACCCTTGGGCCCCAGGCACACGAAAGTTACGAATCTTAAACGACTACGATCACCAACGAACCAACGATATTGATTCCTTATATGTTATCTCTTAATCTCATCCACTTCCCCCCATAGAAGCCGTAATTTAACTCAGTTTTCCCTTAACTTGTCAGTCCACCTTGTGACCATTCAACAATAAACGTATCTTAACAAGTTTACCTGTTTTCCCTTCTTTTACATAATATTATCATATTATTTTCTGAACAAGTTCGTAAAGTACTTCTTCAACGAATAAGTCAAGATAGTGCACAGAATAATTTATTTTCAAATAGTTCCCTTATTTTTTAAAGTGTAATAGGTAAAATGGGATTCCAACGGATTTTCTAGACCACTATAGAGTTGCCAACTCGATTTCTAGACACCAGGAACCAGTTCGACTGGAACCAGAATTGCTGGTTCCGAACCACTTGCCTCCAACAAAGGTAGCAACAATTGTTTTGTTTTCCCCCAAAAATGAGCTGGCGAGACAGTCTCACCAGCATTCCGGGCACGGTGGCCCAGTTGATCAACGAGAGTGCCAGCACACTGATGCACGTCTCATCCTCGCTGGGATCAACAGTTGGCACTGGGGGCTCCAGTGGACCTGGGTCCGAGGGCGGGGGCTCCGAGGAGAATGGTCCACAGGGCGAGTACAGGGCGCTGCCCATTCCCGCCTCCTTGGTGCGCGAGCAATGGCGCCTGATCTTCACAAGCGATGCCAATATCCAGGACCTCCAGGCGGCCATTGCCCACTGCAGGGATCTCGTCCTGCTGAGCGAGGAACTCAGCGAAGAGCGACGCTGGCTGGTGCGGCACCTGGTGGATCTGCGATACTCGCTGCAGGAATTGGAGGAGGCCCAGGAGCAGCAGTCCCTGTCCTCAGACATGGTCGTGATGAACGCCATCCGAGCGGTGGTGGGTCATCATTTTGTGCCCCACCACCCGCACCACGGGAAGCGGAGTCGCCTGCAGGCAGCCGCCAAGAGGAACTACTGTGACCACTGCACCACCATCATTTGGAGCGTGGTGCAGAACTCCTACGTGTGCAGCGACTGCGGCTTCCTTGTCCATCAAAAGTGCATCGATGGGGTGAAGAGAGTGTGCGCCCACGTCCTGGTCTCCGAGCGCCAATATCCCATCTCGGAGATCTGCCCAGAAATCGGATTGGCTGCCCAGGGATACAAGTGCGCCGAGTGCGGAACGATGCTAAATATTAGTATGTTATCGTCTGCCTTTCCAGTTCCTCTTAATAACTATCGTTTCCCCCAGAAAACACCTGGATTGAGCCACGTCTGTGCGACTATAGTGGATTGTACTACTGCCCTCGCTGCAACTGGAACGACAGCAACTTTATACCAGCCCGCATTATCCACAACTGGGACTTTTCCCCTCGACGAGTATCGCGCACGGCTCTCCAGGAGATTAGGTTGTTCCTGAACAAACCCCTCATCCGTTTGGAGGAGGACAATCCCAAGCTGTTTGTGTTCGTGGAAAAGCTGTGTGCGGTGAAGAAATTGCGCCAGAATCTGGTGCACATGCGCCACTACCTGGCCGCCTGCAGGATAGCCAGTGATCTGAAGCTGGTGGATCAGCAACTGGGCGGCAGAAGACATCTGGCGCAGTCCAATGAGTTCTATTCCCTGAAGGATCTCACGCAGGTGGAGTCCGGAGCTCTCACCGAATTCCTGCAGGCAGTTTTCAAGGCTTTTAATGATCACATAAGGTCTTGTCCCATGTGCCTAGCACAGGCGTACATCTGCGAAATCTGCAGCAACAACGAAGTGATCTTCCCCTTCGACGACGGCTGCATCAAATGCGACCAGTGCAACTCCATTTACCACCGCGTTTGCCTCACGCGCAAAAATATGGTTTGCCCCAAGTGCATTCGCATCCAGGAGCGGCGACTCCAACTGGATCGCATGAAGAGCTCTGAGGATGATGACGAAGTGGCCACCGATGATGAAGTGGCTCTTGCCGAATAACTGATACAATCAGAGCTCACTTGTAACTGTGCTGGTTTTTAATATGTTATCATATGTACATAAGATGTAACTACAAAATGTATAACTACTATTACTATTAGATTTTATCTGGCGTTTTACTTATCTTTCTTCCCATACTTTTCCCGTTTGTGGAACTTTCTAGGATTTATGCCGTAAGCCTTCAATCGATCGTCTGTTATTCCATTGGTGCTATTGTTTATTTTGTTTTTCGCCTTGAAGTTATTCGTTTTCTTGGCTGGGAAGGGACCGCTCGCTTTTTGGTTGGATTTCTTGAAGGGATTGGCACCTGTTGCATTCTTGGGAGATTTTGTATTGTCTCCTTGGTTTTTATGAATTGGTGGCAGCTGCTGTCTCTGGTTGGGTTTTCCATTTTGTTTGTTAAACGGGTTATTTCCATTTGACTTTTCGGTTTTTATAGGGGCACCTTCCATGTTTTTGATAGTTTTGTTGGACTTTGTCTGTTCCTGTTTATTTGGAGTTTGTTTTTGGGTTTTTTTGAATCCATTTTCTGCATTTTTCGGTTCTTTTTTGTTATTTTTAAAGGTATTGTTGGGTTTCGTAATTTCTGTCTTCTGTGTGAAGGTCTCAGTTTCATTTTTAATCTTTTTAGAAAGCGGATCGTCCTCCTTTTTGATTTCCTCTGCCTGGTTGTCCTCTGTCGCTGGCTTGGGTTCCTCTTTTGGGACCAGTGGGGAACTGGCTGCTGCTGATGCGGCAGCCTTCCTCTTAAGACGTTTCCTCTTTGATTTAGATAAGACTTCCGTTGTGGCTTGAGAAGTTTCAGTTGGAACTGACGCTTCAGCTGGTTTCGTCTCTGGTGTCTCTTCTGCGGGCTGATCCTCATCATCAGATCTGCAAGGAAATTAAGTTTAAGTTCATGCCTGTTCTTTAGATCACAATGAAAGTAACTTACCCTTCGCCATACAGACTCTTGAATATTTTTCGCTTTAGGTCTTCGTTCTTGGCCTTCATCTTGTACAGACGTTGCTCTTTTTTCTCTACATGTTCTGGCCTGTTTTGGACAGCTTTCTTAAGGCTAGCCCACTGGTTGAGCTCCTTGTTCTTGGCTAGCAAGATCTGCAGGGAAAACCAAATAAAATATATATTACTAAGTACTTGAAATAAATTAAACAAAAGCTACCTCTTCTATCGTCAGACCAAAATCGTTGGGTGTGGTTTCCACATATTTAAATCTACACGGCTGATCTCCAATGATGTCCTCGCAGTCCATTTGGTAGTACTCGTCGATGTACTCACTGTAGGTCTTCTCGTCCTCGGGATTGAATGCCGGTTTCTCCGCCTGAATCATCTCCATAAAGCGATTCCGCCTGCCCTTGCGTCCTTTACGACCGCGTGTGTTTTCGATTAGCTCCTGTTGGAGTTGTTGCTTGGACGTGGACGGATCGTAGTCGCAGTCCATGTTAAAGTCCTCGTCCTCGCAGTGACCATCGTAATCCTGACCGCCGTCATTAGTATTGTTCCTGGGATCGTAGTTGTCCCAATCTTCCAGTACCAGTTCGTCGATGTCCGAGGGACATTCGGGTTTCTCCTCGCCCTCATCCACATTGTAGTACTCATCGTCGAAGAGCTCCTGCATTCGACGATCGTGGGCCGCCGGATCGAAGTCCTCCTCGAGTTCTTCGTCCCGGAAACCGAGTTCATCGTTGCCCGTGACGGCTTTCAGTTTTCGTATCTTCTCCTCGATCTCCTTGCGCTTTATTTCCTTGATGAGGTCTAGTTCCTTCATCTTCTGTTGCTTCTCCTGATCCTTGCGATCCTTTAGCTCTTTCCGTTTTTCTTTCCTCTTGTCATCCGTGCGACGAATGGATTGTTCGATGGTGCGTGGATAGCGCTTGATAAAGTCCGCATCCGGTTCTTCAAAGCGGAAATTGTACTTGTGTTCAAACTCGGCCTGCTTCTCCAGTTCTTGCTCATCCTCGGAAAGTGGGGCAGTTTCGCCAACGATTTCATCGTAGGTGGGAATGGCGGACGCATCCGTGTTGGCATAGCCCTTGTTCAAGATGTAGTCCCTGAGGAAACTCTCGCCCTGCGTCAGCTTACTGCTGTTCCAGTACTGCTTTAAGGGTTCCAACTGCTCCTTGTCAGTTTGCTCAAGCTCCTCCTGCTTTCCCGCCAACCACTTGGCAAAGTCCGCCTCCTCGGCAGCCGTTTGCTCCTTGGTCTTGCTGCGCTTTTTAAAGATACCGCCAAACTCCTCATCCTCGCCATCGTCCTCCTGGTTCATCACACTCCGGAACTCGGCCTTAAGACGTCTCTCCTCCTCCACGGCAGTGGGTGACTGGGCCCTCTGGAGTTCCTCTTGCTCCTTCTCCTGCTGCTCCTCATCTGAACTCTCGAACTTGCCATTGTGCTCGAGGATCACCTTTCTTTCGTAGTCCTTTAATGTAACCGGCTTAGTTTTCTTCTTTTTCTTTGAGGACTCCTCATCCTTGTCCTCTTCATCGCTGGAGGACTCATTAAAGAACCTCGCGTCCTTATCGTAAATCCGTGGATCTTTACTTTTCAGCGAGGAAAGTGTCTTGAAGAAGTCCTGGTCGAATTTGGGGTCCACCTCGTCCTCCTCGGAGGACGAGCTGTCGCTATCAAACTCCGACTCGGATACATCCAAGCCACGATCTTTATCTGAGGAATATAAAGTGATATAATTGAGAAATGGCAAACGATCGTAGAACGCGGTTTTTTAGTTTACATTTCTGTAGCAGCTCCTTTTTGCGCAGGATGTTGTAGGTCTTGGCATAGTCCTTGTTGGTGGACAACTGCAGGTCCTCCCCATCGTCATCGGATCCCTCGAATAGATTATTATTCATAATTTTGTTTATTTTCCCGGATTCTTTTATAAACTTCCACACGTGTTTACGATAACAGCCGAATGTAAAATAACATTATCGATGTTATCGCTAGAGATGGGCAAGCGAATATCGTAAATCAGAAGAGGATATTAACGAATTTAACATTTTTAAATTAAGTCATATCGCAAAATCTGGTAGGTTTTCTTAATTATTAAGACAATTATAATTTAATTGTGGTTGGTTTCGAGGTAATAGTTTTCATCCACAAATATCGTGACTTTAATCGATGCTGTCATCATACTTCTGCCATCTCCAATATTTTATACTTTATTTACAAGTTGGCTATTTCAACCCATTAATTTATAACTTAACGATTTAGCAACATTCCAAATAGATGGCAGACACACCCGAATCCCAGGCTGCATTGAGCACTTCCACCTCCACGCCCGTTGATAAGGATGGTTCCAAGAGTAAGACCCCTTACCTTGTTTTACAGTCTTTGGGTTATTATCACAACGTCTCTCTTATCAGTTTGTATCCTTCTGAACGCCACTGGAAATGTGCCAATCATCAAGAAGCGAACCTGGACCGTGGATCCCAACAAAACAGTCAGCTGGATCCAGAAGTTCATCCACAAGTTCCTTAAACTTGATGCCAGCGAGCAGATTGCAAGTACTTTCCTCAGTTCCATGGGAACCCTATCTTATTTAGGATCTTAATATTGCAGTTCCTCTACGTTAATCAGACTTTTGCACCCGCCCCGGATCAGATAATCAAGAACCTGTACGAGTGCCATGGAACCAACGGCAAACTGGTGCTCTACTACTGCAAGAATCAGGCGTGGGGCTAAATCGATACGCACTCGACTTTGCTAAATCTTAAGTATTTATTCGACTACTGGGTAATTTGTATATTATTAAATGTGAATAAGCTGATGTTGCGAACTCGATTTCACACTTTATTTCCCCCAAAACGGGAGCCTAACAATGGTATTTAAAGAATATTACAATGGGTCTAGTCTCCACGCAGGGCTTCCAGCTCGTCGGCAGCCTCTTTGGAAACCCTGTGGTACTTCGCCACCGATGGTCGGTAGTAATAGGCCTGGTAGTCGTTGCGCTCGGACATCTTGCGACGAACTTCGTCCTCAAGGAGGCTAAAAGGATATAACCGAAAATTATTTAAGGTTCGATTACATTTAGATGTATCTTTCGCCTTACCGAATCTGGGCTTTTTCGTTCTCCTCGTAGAGATAGTGCAGGGATTTCTCGTAGTTTTGCTGCTCCGAGTTCAACATGTAGCGGGAAATAAAGCGCGAGATGGGGTGCTGCAAATTATAGAGAAGAATTGGAATGAGGAAATGTATTTCATAGATAAGTAGTTATGTTAATAGTTTTAAAAATAATAATAACTAGATAATCAAAAGATTAAGAATAGATAAAGCTTAGTACTAGATTGATATTTGAAATTCTATTATTTGGTTTCAAATGATGTGATACATCTTTATAAAGACCATCGTTTTAAGATTGTAGCAAGATAAGGTAAAGAAGACCCATTATACTAGCTTTAGGAACAGGATCTCAGCATACCTTCTCGTACTCCCAGTGCTTGGGCACGTAACCCTCGGGAATCTCCGCCAGCTGCGCGGGTCCCACGAAGATGTTCGCATAAAGAACCAAGGCGGTTACTGGAATCACGCCGAGCATTACGTAAAAGTGCATCAGATCCTTGAACTTGTCCCACTGGAAGCGCGATGGCTTGATGGTCATGTGGTGGTGTCCATGATCACCGCTCATCTGGCGCAGCTGTTGCTGTAGGGCTAGAAATCCAGAATATTTGGTTGCGTAATGTGGAATGTGTTTACGGCGGCTTCTCCATGGAGTACTCACCATTCCGGCAACCGGGTTCCTGCAGGACAGCCCGGAGGCTGGCGAACTTCGCCGCCGGCGACAGCAAACGGCTCCAACCAACCATTTTAAAGTAGTTTTTCGTAAATCTCACGATATTTTGGAACTGGTCGTGTCAAAGTTGCGAGCAGCACGGCGAACGGTCCCACTTTGGAGGGACCGTACATGTGTTTTGATGTATCGATAACAGCAGAGATGGCAGCGTGAAAAGATTTTGGTTTGTGTCTCGGACTAAAAAGTTTTAAAAAAATTAACCAAATAACGTACTCGTGCGAGCAATAGACTCAAATATTTCACAAGGACTATTACGATTAACTATATATGAAATTTGTTCTTAATAAGCGATAATAGGTTGTCTTAATATTACTTAAATAATACTTAAAACAAAACTATTTCTGGTACAATAGCAATCGTGACACGAAAACGTCTTGCTCGTGACTTCTTGCAAGTTTGGTCGATTTGTGCTTTTTGCAGCACTAATGGGCTCGCCAAGCCAAAAGTTTACCACCACTAAACATCGACAAAAACAACGTCGTCTGGCTGTAAAATTAACGAAGATTTTTTCCTGTACTGATAAAAGGTACTTTCCTCGCAAATTGGGACTCACAAACCGAGTGAAAAGTTCAGGGAAATGTGAAATGGAAGTGGGGTAAAGTCAAAGATTTGACTGTAAACTGCGATGTTTTCTTGGGAGTGATAAAAGTCCATGGCGTAGTACACAAAAAAAAAGTAAATATAATTAAGAGAAGGCAAGACACAAATGCGCAGTTTGTTTGCAATAATTCCGGTTGTGCGAAAGTTTAAAAGAAATTCATTTTATTTGGCAAGGAAATTGTGCAATTTTTACTCAACTCCTTTGTGTGTGTATGTGCGAACAGTGGCGGGACAAAGGAGCCTACTCCCTTTTACAGTGGCGGCTGGAAGGATCAGCCTACACCCTGATACAGAGGTGGCACAAATAGGCGGTGTACCAGTCGCTACAGTGGCGGGCAAAAGGATATGTACCTCCTAACATTTTAAACTAGGAAAACATTACTTGAAAATCAAAGAACAAGTACAACATGCAAACTCTATTTACAGCACACCCTTTAAATATTGATTCTTTGTTATAGTAACTATCACCTTTTAAATTCTTACGCCTGATAAGTTTCATATCAAATGGTAGTAAGGGTATCAAATGTAACATCATAAAATTGAATTTTTATTTTTTCTGTGTTTGTAATTGAAGTCCGAAATATTTCAAATTATTAAAACAAAAAACATCGAAAACCGGATACAAACTATGTATGTACGTTCCATTTACGATTGTGCCATTGTGAATCTGTGAAACTTTTTGTTGGAATTGCGTTCTGCGATAAGCAGCCTCATTTATTTCATTCTGTGTTTGTTATCTTTCGAAAAGCAATTCACTTGTCTTGGAACCACAGTCATGGCCATATTAAATGTCACCACTGTATGCGAGCGAGGTGGGCATGGATGTGGGAGTAGGCGTCTTTCAGGGCCAAGTTACCAAGCAAACCCCTTTGCCATTAACTTTAACCAAATCCATCGATGTGAATGAATGTGAATCAGCAATGCCATATAACCTGTACTACTTCCAATACCAAGAAAACCAAAATAACAACCAACCAAGAAAACTACATAGCTGTCTAATGACGTCATCGATAGAGTACTGGCAACTGCTGCTTTTGGCTAATTTATTCTCACATTTCAGCCGCATATATTCCACATGCCAATAATCGAGCCCCACGACTGAGCCACGTCCTGCGTCACCGCGAGAATTCCAATCACATCGAACGGACGGACAGCACCTGAAGCACTCGACATTCGTATAGTCACCAATATCAAATCACCCACCCGCGATGGACGACCATTCACGTTTCGCACCGAGATTACCAGGTAAGTCCGCCGGCCGATGGGCCAAGTCATGCTTTTTGATTCGAATATATATAGTTTTGATCTTTGGTTCCTTAACTGCTTAGCATTTTGAGCGCAACCGCAACCGCAGGCGATATGCCTTCTTTGGGCGCTGAGAAAGAATTCCCAAAACAAAGATTAAACGCAGATATTATATCAGATAGCTGTTTAAAAAATATTGTTTGATAGGTTTGTAAAGTGAATTTAAGTAAATACAATACAATACATTTAAGATAATACAAATCTGGTTCATAAATTATATACTAGTACCATTTATTACGTTTTCCACTTTCATGATTAGCCACAATTTACTTATTCTCAAGTAGCTTTTTGCCTTCCATCAAGATGATAGAAAAACAGGCCTTAAAAAGTTATAAAAAGAATCCCACTTAGGCCAGTTGGACTTTTTAATGCCTCTTAATCTGTGTTTCGAGTTCTGGGAGTCATTTCTTTGCGCCGCTTTGTTTTGTTTTCATTACCGTATCGTAGTTTCTTTGAGGGGAGAAGTGCCCTCGTTTGAGAACTAACAGTAATAGCCAGCAATTACGACTAATTTTGTGCCCCGCCCCCCGCCTCGCCTCGCCTCGCCTCGCCTAACCACCAACCGCCCCCTATCCGAACTCTTTGTTTTTGGTATCAAGTTGCGCTACTAACCCCATTTCAAACTGTTTAACCCAGCCTATGTGGGCAGCTCACCGTCTCTGTACATACATACAATCTTGCATTTTTAACTATCCAACGTGTTTGCTTGGTTTGTTGTGGATCCTATTTGTTTACCTACTTTTCGCTAGCTGTGTTGTTGCCAATGTTTGTTACCGAGGTTTGTGTGATCGTGTGTTTGCCCTAGCCCTAGTCCTAGCCCTAGCCCTAGCACTACTTAGCCCTATCCTTAGCCCTAGTCCTAGTTTCCTAGCTTAGAGTTTCTCCTAATCGTCTCTGTTCTGTTCTGTTCAGTAATCGTCTGCCAATAATATCGAAACAGTAAGACTCTTGATTATCCAATCAGATGCCAACGTACTCATCAAATTAAATTTCTCTGATTCATGTCTATTCACTTACTCAAACTCAATCCGAACTAAACTTGTGTTGCCTCAGGCCGTCAAAATACTTAACTGAAAGCATTACTTGTAAGATTACGTTTTTGGAATACCAGTCCGCGCCAGGGAAACCTACGAGATTTATAAATGCCTTCCCTCTCGCACCCCAAGGTCCAGCCATCAATCCCATCGTCGATAACTCGGATGAGCCGCAGCCCAGTCTCTCCGATCTGCACGACTTTGAGCCGAAGCTAGAGTTTGACGATACCGAGCTGTTGGCCCCATCGCCCCTGGAAAGTAAGTTTTATATATACTATATATAAGACATTTCTATAGCCCAAGAGTAATATAAAATTAAATAATTAATTCTCTTATTTTTCCCCAGAAGATGTTATGGTCGGCGATTTCGTCCTGGCCGATGGTGAGTATGCAAATTTTTTCTTGTTAGTCCAAAATTAACTTGTTTCGACTTTCCTAGATCCAGAACTAGAGCCCGAAGAAGATGTAAACCCTTTGGAGGACGATTTTGAGGACCAACTCAGGGAACAGTCGGAGAACTTTCAGGCGCCCAGAAACAAATGCGATTTCCTGGGTACCGACAAACAGGGTCGTCATATCTTCGGCATTTATGCATCTCGCTTTCCCGAAAAGTCCCAGCTCGAGGGTTTCGTGCGGTAAGATCTATTTAACAAATTATACTATTCTATTTTTATCAACCTTTTTTTTTTTTCTTCCACAGTGAGATTATCAAAGAGATTGAACCATTTGTGGAGAACGACTATATACTGGTCTATTTCCACCAAGGCCTTCAAGAGGACAACAAACCATCCACTCAGTTCCTTTGGAACTCGTACAAGGAGCTCGATCGCAAGTTTCGCAAGAACCTGAAGACGCTGTATGTGGTGCATCCGACGTGGTTCATCCGGATCATCTGGAACTTCTTCAGCCCCTTCATCAGCGACAAGTTCCGCAAGAAGCTAGTCTACATCTCAAGCCTGGACGAGCTGCGCCAGGCGCTCGGCCTAAACAAGCTGAAGCTGCCAGACAACATTTGCGATCTGGACGACAAACTGAACC